GGAAGAGACGAAAGTCAATTTTGAAACTGTCGAAAGTAGTCCTGTCAAAGAGAGAGACGAAATTTCCACAGAACACTTTTCCGAAGTGTTTAAAGACATTTGTCCTGAGGAAGAATCAGAAAATCCTTCCTTGAAATCTGTCTGCAACGAATTGGAAGCGATGAGGATATCTGAAGAGTGCAATGCCACAGATGAGACCAAGGAAGGACTCATTAAAAATGATGACGCTATTGATAACTTGAACACCAAAATCGATGCGATCATAGAAAACTTGATTGTCAAAAAAGATTCCTTTGTAGAAAACACAGGTCTCGCTAAAACCGACAATGTAATTCCTTTAGAAATGACATCGATAAGCGAAGTGGAAGATGTCACACACAATTTGTCTAATACGAATATTATACAGAAAGAAACTTCGCCGGAAAGGCCGATCACGGACGCTGTGACAAAGTGGCTTCAGAATAACGGGACTTCGGCGCTTTCAAGCCCGGACGACTCGGCATACGAAGACGAAGAGATCGAAGAAGGGGAGGAACTGACCGGTCAAAAAAACGGGAAAGGCAACCCTTTCCTTGCGCCATCTCCTAGTGGCACAAGGACAAGGGTTGCCGAAGATGTTGGAGGCTTTGTGTCAAGTGGTGGGATTTGGAACGAAAACCGAGTAACCGCCATGTGCGATCCCAAAACTTCCGTAAACAAGTACTACAGACTTGCCGCAGAAGTACCTCTTGACAAATCACCGTGTTTAATGAAGACTGCAGTCCACATCGGTAGCTCAGGACCCTTTCCCTGCGGTGTGTGTTGCATTATCCAATGAACGACCTTTTCACCCACCAAATTTCCAACTCCTCATCCATGCATGGAGTCCCTCTTGTTTCACTACTTCCGTTAATGTTTGTATATTTTATATTGACATTCACATATCTTATTTTGTGTGTGTTGTATATATATATAAGCGTAATTATTAATGGTATTAACAATTTTTACCACAAATTAAATCAAATTGTCTATAAATATTTCGAAATGTTTCTTAATTCATGGAACGAGTGTTGGAATTATTAAGACTGAGCAACGGTGCCAATTAAGTTCATTTTGCAAAATTTATGCACTCCACATAAATTTCTGTTTTCTGCTGTTCGTTTATTTTATGGAGTTTGAGCACTTCAGTGTATTGCAAGTTTGTTTCATTTATAGCAAGAAAATTACCTATTTTACGTTTTATCGCAGTTGTTTATTCGTTGCAATTTTTCGACAGTTAAATAAAAATTAAAAAAATTTCTTGAAATAATTTAATATCATGTGCCTATAAATAAAAATTTTATAATAAGGTATGAAAATGAGAGACAAGCCTGGGATTGTTGTAATTGTTGAATAGAGTGGGCCTTCATGCATGTTGTGGTTGTTAATATTTATTTTTGTGCTAATGTTATTGTTCATGCACGCAGCTTTTATAATAATTATCATTGTTATACTTGTGTGTTCGGGAACAAGTCATTGAAAAGTGTGCTCGGGTGTGTGTTCTTGAAACTTTCGTTCTCATTTTTTTTTCTTCACTTTTTTAATTGTTATTTCTTTAGTTTAATTTCTTTAAATATAAGTTACCTCAGTTAAATTTTAAAAAATTTTAAGTCATTTTATGTTTGCCTAAGACACATTTATGTTTACAGCTCAATGAATAAGGTTTTATAACGTGCCAAGAAGTATTAATGCACAAGTTTGATTGTATAATTTTTAAATCGATTTTTCGTTTTCCTTTAAAGTTAATTTTTAAAAAAAGACAAATTTTAATAATTTTGTTTGGTTTTGCTTTATTATAATAGTGTCTTAAAGGCAAAGTTTCCAATTTTTTTTCTTTTCTTGTAATTTGTTTAACAAAGATAAACAAAGCATTTATTTTCAAATAGAAATCAAAGACACTTAGAGTCTAAGTTACAGATGAAAATTAATAATAAATTGGTAAATGAGCTAACCTTAGGTGGTCGATTAATGGTTTAGGCTTGTACATTGTGGCTGAAAAAAAAAAGTTTAACTACCAACTTAAAAATATTATTCCACTAATGCTGTTTAATTAGAAAGACTACTGACTGGAAATTAGCCAGTAGGCTGGTCAGACTAGAATGTAAGGTATTAAAAAAAAAAACCTAGGGTTTTAGATTGTAGCAACCTCAATTTCTAGAGTCTCTGACACCATAAAAATATAGAAAGCCACTTCAAAACGATTAAATATAAATTTAACGAAAAAAATAACTGTAGAGTTTATTTGAAACAAAGAATAATGAAATTTATTAAAAGTTTGACAAAAAAAATAAAAAAACAGGCATTTATGAAAAGGAGTGTTGGTGAAATAGCATTCAGTTTATCACTTAAATGATGTATGTGCAGAATATTGTTGGCTCCTAATTTTAAGATGCTTCTTATAAATATTATTAATATCACTGAATAAATAAGGTGTAATTTGTGAGTCAGCCTCAATTTGTCATTAAAGGCAAAACATTCTAATGAAAAAACACAAGATAATAAATATATTTAGCTGTTAAGTCATATGTTGTCAGTCAATGTTGATGTGTTTAAGAACAATTTACATGGTATTACACGAATAAATAAAAATGAATTTATCTCCGGTTTGTCGTGTTTTTCATCATGGCAAATTTTGGTATGTTTAGGTACCAAGATGAATTAATAAAATAATCCAATGTCCAAAAAGTATCAGTATAATTATATTGTATTGTGTGTCAAGAATAAATGTGATGAAAAGTTTGTTATTGGAAAAATAGATGTAATAATAAAATAATACCCAAGACCTAAATTTAACTTGAATATGTTTATAGTCATGCTGGCCTACTCAAATGTACCTGTGGCAGTTTTATTGCCCCAATATTATCGTTTAAATTTATTTCCGCTCCTTGTGTATAGTCTTAAATTGAATATTGCATTATTACGTGCCTTAGCTACTCAATGCCGTTTTAATTTGAAAATTGACACACGGGTGACAAAGCTTCAAAATTGTTCTTTTACATTTCACATTTGGTTTTACGGCGTTTTTTTCTTTTTTTTTTTTTTTAAAGCTGTGTTTGATGCAATTTGTCAAAACTCATTTCGAGTAATCTTGGGAAATTTTCCAATACTTATGCTTAAAAATCATAACTCATGAAGAAGGTCTTGCATACTTCAATTTTGTAAAAACCTCCGGTAACTAATTTAAGACTTCTATTGTGATCTCCAACTAATCTCCATAAAGAATTTACCTGGTATTTTTTTTTTAACCCTGTAATGTTGCCTTAAGTTACCTTGTGAGGAATTTGAGGCTTAAATACCATTTAAGAATTAAGCAAAAAAAAAAAACAATGTTCATCTAAGTGTAATTTCAACTTGTGTAATATATAATATTAATAATAACGATTAATAATAATAATTATTGTGTAAGTGTGAATTTATCATTACCAAAATATCTTCACAAAGTTCTTGATATATTTTGCAATGCCACAGGAAATAAGGTATATTTTTAATTTAAATAAAATGTTATAGAATATTGGAATTATCACATGAAATGTTATTGTTCATGTTTCATGGAAAAAATATTGAATAAAAAAAATACAAAGCAATGTAAAAAAAATTTTTAGTCCTCTTTTTACTGATCTTGTTTATGAATTGCATGCACACCAAACAAAAACCACATATATTTGTATATATTTCATTTTCTGGAGTTCTAAAATTTTAGAACTTAAAATGTCCAGAAAATAGAAAAAATGTCAGTCAACGAAGGAAATGTAGTCCACATGAAAATTCAGGTGAGCCAAATGTGCCAGCCAGTGTCCTTTAGGTTACATTGTGGCACATTTAGTTGTATCATTGATAATAATTCAGGAGAGGATGTGGTCTTCAAAATTTTCCATCTGCAGGTTGGGGTAGAGGACTTATCTGTGTACGGTGACTGCAGCCAAAAAAGCGTCGTCTTTCCTCATAGGGAAGTCTATTTTGCCAATCACCATTCTCCACACCACTCAGATACCATAAAAATTATTATATTCCAGGTGTGATCTTACAAAAAATTCGTACAAAATCTTTATATTCGTGAAGTCAACTGCCTGATAGATGACTTTTTAAAGCATGTGTGATTAACATGGTCCTGGAAATCGCTTTTTGAATTGAATGTAACTCATAGATCAACTATGGAATCTATGATGCATCCATCCAGCTTATGGCAGAGCATCCCTCAGACAATGACAGATTTTTTTATATTTTTCTGTGTTGACAAATAGCAAATTCAGTTTGCACCATTGTTGGAATAAATATAATTCTCTTGGAGAATACTGGAGTCATAATTGAAACTGATTTCATTATAAATCTTCAAGTCTATGAATAATTTCTTAAATTTACTAGTTTCATGGTCCACTTGACCAATTAATATCTTACAATTATTTAAGGTTTTCAGTTGAAATAAAAAAGTCAATGGCACGAGCGGGATTCGAACCCACGATCTTCGGCTTGATACGCCGCTGCTCTACCACTTGAGCTATTGTGACCTCGATCCACTCGGACACCAACTTCCCATCTCAACCACACCTTTTCGATTTTCCTTCCTTCTTTTTTTTAATGCTTCTATATCGTTGATAAAAATCAGAAAATATATAGGTCCAAGTAACCTTGGGGAAAGATTTTATCCAAGAGAGAAATGGCCAATCATCTCCCGCAGCGTTTAGCTCAATAAGGAGTAGTGAACGGTTCATCCTGTCAAAGCCTTTGGACATGTCCATGTAAATATTATCAACTCATTTATGCCCAAATTCCAAAGGCTTAACCATGAAATCTATATAAATCGCTAGATTAGTTATTTTTGAATGTCTTTTAATGAAACCTGTTCAAGAAAGCTCAGTAATAAGTGGTAAAAATATTACTGCATTCTGATGTTCCAAACTCTTAAAGCAGACTGTTTGGATAATTGGATGAGGAAAGAAAATTTCTCAAGTCATATTGTAAAATTTATTTCCAATTAATTACAAACATAACTGAATAAGTTTGTATATTGTTATATATTTTATTTGTTTTGCGTTTTTTAGCTTTTCTTTCAGTGACCCTAGCTGTAATCGTCTGCTTTTAATTTCTTCTTATCAAAACATTGCAAAAAATATATTTTGTAGAAATATTAATCAATTGACTCCTTACACTCCTCATCCCAGTTGGTAGGTATAACAGGTTTCAAAAGATAAATAAATTTATCTAATGGGCAGGCTTTTGTACAACCGGGGACAGTCAACAAATGTGGTTCTGCTTCAACAGTTGAATTTTTATATAGAACCTAAGAGAAAACAAAATTTTAAATACACCCATAAAGAACAAAAAATAAAAATGCTTACAGTAACAAATTTTTCATTGTTTTTGTTTTGTCTCAATTCGACCAAAACGGCTGCAGCGAAGGGTGGTGGAACAAAATCATAAACCCCGAGTGTGTTGAGTAGAAAAGCTACCGTTGTGTCATGTGCTGAGTACACGGTAATATTTCTCGGAAAATGTTGTTGCGCGTTCAGTTTTGATTGAAACGACTCTAGCATATCTTTCAAAAGCGGTCCTGCAAAAAATTTTAAAGGATTATTAATCAAAGCACAAATAATCCGGGGAAATTACCTCCTTTCAACCGTTTCATTTCTGTCGTGTGAGTGGTAAACGCAAAACTGAGCCCAGTGAATTTTTCTAAAATATCCGGGAAGACAGATTTTGTCCATTTTGGCAGTTCCAAGTTGGTTCGGTTCTGTAATTTAATAAAATTATATAAATTTTTTGTGCGTTGAAACTATCACATGAAAATCCAGTGAAAGTACAATATATGCACAATTAATACAAATTTTAAAACAAACAATATTTTATTTGTAAAAATTAACTTTTCCAATGATAATCCATCATTATTCCATTTTAATATTATATGTCTTTATTTATTTTTTAACTGTGATTCCAAATTAAAGGTTATTTTTATCATAAATTAATTAAAATTTAAAAAAAAATTTTTTTGCTTTTCAATTTGAGCTAAATTCCATTTCCTGCTCAAATTTAACCTCCTGTTGAATACAGCTGGTAATATTTTTTTTTTATTAGTTAACTATTTGATACTTTACCTCAACAATCAAAGTGCTGTAAACATATTCTATAGTATAAAGGGTCACATTATCACCAGTATTGTGACGCAAATATTGCAAAAAGAAGTCGTATTTCCTGTTAAGCTCCTTTATATACTCTGAATTCTTAAATTTATTAATCAAAGCATTAAATTTGCTACATGGTGCTTTCATTGCCAGTACCTGAAATATCAATTTATTAGGTACATGTACATTTTTTTTAAATAAAAATTACCAACTTTATCCTCCTTTTGAGGAGTAGTGTGAATTGGGATCGGCTGCCAGTTGACATCAGACCAATGGTCTTTTCGTTCAAGAGGAAACATCCCGGCAGCATTGGCCTGAGCGCTCATGAGCGTTCTGTCGACGTCAGTGCTTCTAATGTAGACAGTATTGTGGTTGTAGCCATCTTTGGGGAACAGGTGGTTGTACCTTTGGCGAAACCACTTGCCCAATTTATAATGATGGAGTTTACCATCGTTTGTCAGCTGAGCCAAGTCATTATCAGACCAGAAATTTTTATACGGGTCATTAGGATATGTTTTAATTGGATTTCTCTCCCCATGTCTAAAAAGCTAAGAATAAATGGTGGTTTTTTTTTTTTTTTTTTTTTTTTTTTTTTTTTTTTTTTTTTTTTTTTTTTTTTAGAATTAATTAAGGTTTTTAGTTGAGATAAAAAAGTCAATGGCACGAGCGGGATTCGAACCCACTTGATACGCCGCTGCTCTACCACTTGAGCTATCGTGACCTCGATCCACTCGGACACCAACTTCCCATCTCAACCGTACCTTTTGAATTTTCCTCCTCTTTTTATCTCAACTAAAAACCTTAATTAATTGTAATATATTAATTGGTCAAGCGGACCACGAAATTAGTGAATTTTTATTTAGAGTTTGATCCAGATTGTGGATTCATCATGAACACATTTTCACCTTTCACCAACTTCATTGGCAGCCATCCCTATGTTGCAGTAAGACCAAAATAATAAGGGTTGTTCAAAATTTTAACAAATATTCAACAATTCTCTGTTTATATTTTTAATTTCAAAATTTACAATTAAAAAGTATTGAGTTGTAAATTTTGTTTAGCACAAACCTTAAATAAAGATTACGTGTTAAAAAATTGTATCCTCCCTGATCACTCTGGCTGGATTCTTTATGTATATTTTTGGTTAGGCATGTTCCACATTTTTACTGTTTTCAGTGATAAACTACACATTCGAGGATTATTAATAATTTTCAAACTTTGAACAAATGTTCAACAATGTGCAGACTGCGATTTCTTGTGTAGTTCTACAGGAAAATGTTCGATCATTTGACCAGTAAAAATAGGCAAACCGAGATGAAAAGAATTGGCCCAACTGTGATGTGCAGACTACCGTATAGAACAATGCAGATCAAAAATTTTGTATTTTAGTGTCCAAATAGTTAGGGTATTTGCCACGCAATGGTTCTTTGGTTTGAATACCAGCACAGATCACAGAATTTTAATTGGTGAAAATAAAAGATATTATAAAGCGGTTTGACCACTTGTCTTCAAGATCCAAAGGGTAGTTGGGCATTAAGCCTCGCCACATATGACAGGAATTAATTTACTTCATTTTTATTTTTTGTACTTTAGTCATTTCTGATCATCCTGGTTTTCCTGTCGTTACTGTTTTGGTATATCAATCAATTTTGGTTATTACATCAGAGACGTCAAGAGGAAAATTCCTATTAAATATTCAATTAAAGGCTAATTTAAAAGCTTCACAATTTCAAAAGTTAAAAATAATAATTCACGTTCAAAATTTGATCCATGGCTGAAGCGAAATGTCAAAAAAGAAGAGAAAAAGAAATTTTAAATATTTTACAACAGTACAAGAAAACAATGGTAAAGGAATTTTCAAAAATTAAAATTTCTTTCTTCCTCGTTCTTACATATTTTAATATTGGGATACATTTTTTTTAATTTAGCTTTTATTTTCATTGCACATAAAGAAAAACATAAATGTCAAAAAATTTATATAAACGTAAATATGTACTTACAATGTTGGCAAAGACCACTTTTCCAAAATGTTCATCAAGCGGGTCGACAGAAAGGCATAATGAGACTGATATCGAGCAGACAATTACGAACAGTGTTACAGTCTTCATTTTAGAATAAAAATGAACTGCTGTCACAGCCAATAGACACTAAAGGTCCTTCGAAGTACTTAAATTTAAGTGTACTACAAATTAATTAAACCCTTATTTCATTTCAAATTTTATACACTTAAGATATTTTGAAACTTCAGATTAAAAGAAATGAGTAAAACTGATTAGAAAATATGAATCAATCTACATAATCTACTGTTTGACATCTTAAAGAGATTTTTTTTCATATTTGTTATCAACAAAATTAATGATTTACATGGATTGCGTAACAAAAAAAATATTCTGAATATCTAGAGTGTTCTTAAATAGTTATCTTGTAGACACAATAGTCTGATATTCTTTCAATGCCAAACTAAAATTCCTCTTATAAATCTATCTAAATTATGTCACCATTAAAAGGTCAGGTCAAAGGGATGTCCTGTCCTCCCATAACAAGCAGTGCAGAACTGAACCAATATCCCACACATTGAGCGAATTCATTAAAAACAGGAAAAACCTCAATTCATTTTTTAAAAAAAACTCAGTGTGGTTTCACAACTCAAGAGAAAAGCCTCCATGAATCCACTAATAAATAAAATTTACAGTTACAAAACACTTATGCCGATGGAAAGAAGGTCATGCTGATCCGAATTCCTGAATTTTAGGGATAGCCAGGAATAAAAAGTTCTTAAGCAGACAAAGAGGCCACATCAGTGCATGGAAGCTCATTCTAACCGCCCAGCAGAAGAGGTAAGATTAATGATGAATAATGTAAAAGAAAATGGGAAAAATACTGGCAACAGACTTCTGCCAAATCATGGCAAATGAAGACTAGCATTGGTCCATGTATGGGTTATACATGGGTATACCTATACATAGGTCACACTAGACTTTTTTCTTTTTTTTCTCCCAATGGATACCAGGAACTGGAGGAGTTCCTCCCTGAGCACTGCAGCTGTACAGCTTATGTACTTTATCCCTGGCTCCATTTTTGGGGGCTTGCACACAAGTATGAATTTGAGCCCTCGGTGTGCCAGTGTTCTTCCATCGAAGAAACCCATTTTTGAAGGGGGTTGGGACCAAATTCAGGATATTTTATTTATTTATTTACAGATCGAAATCCACTATAAAAAAAAAGATATTTTACAATAACAAAAAATATAAATAATATATGTAAAAATACAAATAATATATATAAAAAGAATAAGGACGTATATACATGGTAATAATATAAATGATAAATATAAAAATACAATTAAAGAGTAAAAACTGAACAACAAAAATGAAAGACATAATTACTAACCAAATAAGGCAGAGGAAACAAAATAAAGCTGAAAGACAATTGAAACTACAATAATTAGGTACATATTTAATGAAAATAATGCTCTTTGTAAATATATAATAAGACTAGAGTGCGAGAATTAGTTGAACCAGTAAATGAAATAAATTGTAATAATTTTGTACAGTATGAAATATAAAAGCATTCAACTAAGGTTGTAGGATAAGGTTTTTCACAGATTGCACAGAACTATTGAAGAAGTCAATGCTATTGCAGATGTTGTTACTCTTGATCATCATTCTGTGTAGAGGAGAAGAGAGCATGTAGTTAGAGCTTTGGAATTCAATATAAAATAATTTATAGGTTTTAAGAGAGTACGAAGGGACATGTAGCTGTAGTTGAGAGAGGAGATAAGGACTATCAATGAGATTGTTTAATAATTTAAATACAAAAACAATATCAAAGTAATCCCTTCTTAGTGCCAGTTCGAAAAGTTTAAATTCAGAGCGGATTCCAGGGTAGGCAGAATTCGGATGAAGATTGAGTTTGTAGGAAGTTTTTTTAAAAATTTGTTTTGTACAGATTGAAGAATTTTTTGATAATTTAGATAGAATGGGTTCCAAATAGGTGTAGCATATTCTAGTATGGGTTGTACAAAAGCTTTACAAAGATAGACAAAACTTAGAGTATTTTGAAGAAATATGTTCTTTAAACTTGAGCTTTTGATCAAAAAGTACACCAAGATCCTTTACGACCTCAACTCACGTTAAAAGAGCATCATGGAGAGTATAGAGATAAATAAAATGTTGTTTCTTATGAGAGAATGTAATTGTGTAGCATTTGGAAACATTAAGAGCAAGTTTGTTATAATGTGCACCAGGTTAGCACATTATTGATAGAATTTTGTAATTGTAAGCAATCAGAAGGAGAAGTGATTATGGAATAGATTTTCAGATCATCAGCAAATAATAAAAATTGAGCAGAAGGGAGAGCAAGATGGATATCATTAATAAATAAGAGAAACAAAACTGGTCCAAGATGAGACCCTTGCGGGACTCCCGAGGAAGCCGCAAAGGGGCATGATTTAAATGATTTTATTTCGACTATTTGTTTTCTGTCGGAGAGAAAGCTGGATAATAGGAGGGTCACTGAGAACCGATCCTGCTCCTTCCATTGCTGAGTGCCGTGTCAATTTCTTTCAATTGCGGCCATCAGTCACCCCTTAAGCGTTAGAAAAAGTCCAGAGGCGATGGTGGGAATCGAAGCCACGACCGCGGGATCTACAAGCCGAGAGTCTGACGCCTTAACCACTCAGCTACTGCGGCCCCTCCATACTAGGCTTAATCATGGACACTTGCTGGTGTGAAAGAGACTGCGTCGGTGCCAATTATGTACTGAAATTTTGAGCATTGAGCTTTACAATGCAGAAAACTAGAGGCCTGTAAGATAAACTACAGAGTTCATGCTGTCATATGCATGGCGTTACATCATAGGTTTTAAGTGCATACAGTATGTGGTTTTAGGCTATGTTTCATGTTATGTGTTGATTGATTGTAAATTATTAGTGTGAATGAGGGGATTATCCCATTCTGAGAATATCAAGTACTTTGGGGTGAGAATGTGTTGTCTAAAGAGGGAAAATAATTTATTAGCATAAATTCAGGTTTAATCCTGCCTGAGGAATGTTGGTTCTCTGATGCTTTTTTTTTGTGTTTTCTTGTTCTTTTAATTATAATTTGACAACCTGAATTAACGCTGAGACTGAACAACGTTAATAAGTTATGAAAATAGGAGACAAAATATGAAAGTGTTAGTGACTGAGGTGTGCAAAAAAAACTTTTACATAAGTGGTCAATCCTTATGAGCACCATGTCAAACCTGCAGCCACCGATGCCTCCACTAATGGAATTTTGATATAAGTATGAAAATAATTTTGAAAAAAATGATCATGAAAAATCAGTTTGGTAGACTTTTCAACATTTCAAAATCTCTAGTTTATTTTTTGGCACAATCTACAAGAAAATAATTGCATAATTGATGGAAAATTTGGACAAAAAATCTGCACCGCTGGAGCAAAACTGGATAAATAAAAACACTGAACTTTTCAGGATTTCAAGTTTAGAATTTTGGTGCAAATTCAATTTTTATAATAACTTTTTTTCATGCATATCATTTCAGGCATTGAATTAAATACAGTTGTTAGTACAATTAATTAAGATTTTTAGTTGAGATAAAAAAGTCAATGGCACGAGCGGGATTCGAACCCATCTTCGGCTTGATACGCTGCTGCTCTACCACTTGAGCTATCGTGACCTCAATCCACTTGGAGGACACCAACTTCCCATCTCAACCCCACATTTTGAGTTTTCCCTCCTGTTTGCCATTATTTCAACTAAAAACCTTAATTAATTATTATATATTAATTGGTCAAGCGGACCACGAAATTAGTGAATTAAATATTTTCACAAAAGTTTACACATTTGGCCCAAATTGTGTGCATTTCTCTTTGCTGCAAACAAAGTAAAAATTTTTAACAACAAACAAGCCAGCCAATTTTTTTTTTTTTTTAATTTTTGGAATAGAATATAAATATTGTAAGTATTAAACAAATTGAACATTAAATTTTTTTTTTAAAGTGTTTGCATTTGGTTTTAATAGAATGGGTTGAACTTTCCTTCAAACATAATACAATTTTTTTTTACAAAGAATTGAACTGAGGCCACCTATTATTATTTTAAATTTTTATTTATTTATGTTTAGAATAGATCATTAGTATTATCAGTTTTATAGAAATATGGCATTAAATGTTTCTGAAAAAGAGTGCACAGTGGGTTTATTTTTCCTTCAAACATATTTGACATTTTTACAAAGAATTGAAAGCAGGCCAGCCGATATTATTTTTATTTATTTATTATTAGGATGTATTATAAATATATATATATATTTTCAATCTTCATGTATTTTGTAGTAGATGGTAGTCATGATAGCTCAAGTGGTAGAGCAGCGGCGTATCAAGCCGAAGATCGTGGGTTCGAATCCCGCTCGTGCCATTGACTTTTTTATCTCAACTAAAAACCTTAATTAATTGTAATATATTAATTGGTCAAGCGGACCACGAAATTAGTGAATTTAACAGTTGTTAGTATTGTAAATTATATTTTGATTTTTTGATACTTATCACATTATACACCTAAGCTTATCCAATTATTTATGTAAATCTTTGATGTTAGGCAGATAAGCTGGGATAAGTTCAACTGGTTTTCAAGTAAACCTCTAAATTTTATAAGTGTATAAGATAACTGCACTTTTTCACTTCTAACCTATAAAATAAATACTAATAAAACTAGATTTAAAAAAACCCTATATCTTTGTCGCACCTAAACTATTATTTATTAGGATTAGGAAATTCACTTATTATATTTCAATATATGAGTTATTCAAGTTTACAAATAAATAAGAAAAATAACGTATAAAACGAAATGGTTTCCTTCTCGATACAATCATGTAAACAGTCTGTCAGGCCTTAAAAACTGGAAAACTTCAAAATTGAACATATCCAGATTTGCTCCAAAGGCATGGAAATATTCTTTGTTTTGTAGTAGAAATTTTTCTGATCTCCTGGGGGAAATTGGCTTAAAACAATGAAATAAATGTTCTTAACAGCATTGATTATATACTCGTTCACAATTTTGATTCTTTTGCCCTGGAAGTATCAGTGATCCCTATATGCCAGCCTTCCTTCTCTATAAAAACCATATTTTTGATTTGTTTAAATTGGCCAAAAAGTTCCATCGAGAGCAACAATTTTCCAATGCGACAATGTTCACCTGTAACGCAGCAGGAAAGCTAGGCAGAATGACCTCATCGTCAGAATAGAAAAGATGTTTTATTAAAACATTACAGCAGCGAATGCC